AATGAGCAGCTTCTTGGGTAAAAAAGGACTTGTGCAAAGTTTTAGATCGATATCTCAAAAATTGAAAGACGAATTGACGTATATACAGACAGACGGACATAACTAAATTATCTCAGCTCGTCACCCTGATAATTTATATATACATTTTATAGGCTTTCCGACGTTTCCTTCTGGGTAATACACATTTTTGGCCAAATTAAGAGCATAACAATGTTATGAAGTTCAGAGAAAGCTGTTCCCAAATTGTAGGAATATAGTAAAAGTCTGACTCATTCCGAGAGGTTTTTTGTTTTCTGTTTTTTTTTTGTATAAAAAAACATAAACATTACATCACCAGTCGTCGAAATTATGATAATTATATCCTTATTCATACGAGATTAGACTAAAAGAATGGAAGAAAGAAAGATACCCTCGCCTCATTATGACTTAGTGGAAGTTTCCTTGAGGCCTTTCGGTCTAAAACGTTGAGTTCAGTTAGAAAGCTAATATCCATGCAAGCTCAGCGAACACTCGAAAACCGGCATTACTTGTGCAGACGCAAAGTTTTTCTGACCTAAGAATAGTGGTAGAATATCTCTGGAAATTCTTCTTGCGCTTAGTAAAACACACCCTCCTTTAGTAATAAGAATTGTAAATAGCTAATGTTCGTTTGGTAGCTATGCCGTAAGGTTATAGATTTTGCCTAATCTTTACCGTCGAAATTGTCTGAAAGATGGTGAAAAGGAATTGTTACCCTTCTTGGTAAAGATTTTAGTGCTTTGGGTTTAATTTTTCCAGATAGCTGGTATCGAAATTTGCTATTTCAGCAAATCAGCGGGTAAAAAACTTGTCATTGGTATACAGTGATTTCCTTCGTTTCAGGAATTAGTACACCACAAAAACCCAATTTCAAATTGTATACATAGTGACACTCTCGCAAGAAAAATTTACTATCGTATTAGTCCGTTCTCCAAATTTGGGCCCGTACGACTTATTTTTGTTTCCAAATTTGGAAAAGTCATTATACGGGCAGAAATTTGTTTCAAAAGGTTATGGCCGCCTTGGAGATCTACACCAATTTCCAGAAAATATATTTTTCAGACGGTTTAATGTAACTAGAGCACCCCTTAGTTAACTACATCTAATCAACGTACAAAATATAATTATTATAAAATATAAAATAATAAAAACGTATAAAATTTCATAAAATTTTTAACCAATTTTCAAAATTAATAAATCATCATTGTGTAATTATTTTGTGATAATTATAAATTAAGAGGAAATCTCAAAACAGTCTATTTTGTATCTGACACCTGATATCAAATTTGTGTACGTGTTTTGAGTATATGGACAAGTTTTCCTCTTTACCTTGATGAAATGTACATAATTACATACATGCGGTAGTAAATAAATATAAATTTTCTTATGTACATACAAACGCTTACTACTGCTGCTGTTCTACACACAAACATACAGACTTGTTCGGTTAGTAGCAGAGTTTTCGTTCAGCTTGACTTCCCAATTCAATGTCGGCTTAACCCAAAAACGACAAACATACTTCTGTTCATTCATATACATATAAATAACATAAATATGTACATCTGATTTGCCGAACGAAAGTTGCAAATATTTCACCGTTGCGAATTGAAACGGAAATTACAAAAATATATTCAGTTGTCTTTTTCTTCAAAATTGCTAAGAAAATAGCTCTAAAAGTGGCATCAAAAAAAGACCAAATGTTACCGTTATCAGCTACTTACTACTAGCTTTACTATTGAAAATGAATGTGAGGTAAAAAACGAGAGCTTTTGTTGTTGTGTAGCGTTGTACTCTAATAACCTTATTTCAGATTTTTTTATTTGTATAGGGTATCCAGGGTTTAATATGCTGTATCGATCGAAAATTTTGTACACGACATTTGCTCTCCATTAAGCAACGGTTCCATCTCCGAAAAAATTGTTCAGATCGAGTCACTATAGCATATATCTGTTATACCTACAAACTAACCGATTAAAATCAAGTTCATTAAGGAATCTATTGTGCTTGTGAAGGGTATTATAGCTTTTGGTTTTTATATCCTGAACAGGGTATATTAAGTTTGCCACGATGTTTGTAACACCAAAAAGGAAACGTCGGAGGTTCTATGAAATATTGTATATACATAAATGATAAGCATGATGAGCTTAGTTGATTTAGCCATGTCCGTCTGTCTGGCTTTATGTCCGTTCTCCATCTGTATATGCGCGAAATAGTCTCTCAGTTTTTGAGATATCGATCTTAAATTTAGCTTATGACCGTTTTCAACCAAGAAGCTGCTCATTAGACGGAATGTCCGACATCGGACCTCTATAGCATATAGCTACCATACATACTGAAAAATCGGAATCAAGTACTTGTATGGAAAACTTTTTCATTTGACGAGATATCTTCATGAAATTTGGAACGCATCATTATCTAAGGCAATAACGGAATCTCCGAAGAAATTGATGATATTACATCCAAGTAATTGCAATTACATTCGCAAATTTACATTGCCTTCGATTTGACCACACTTTGAAGATGGCAACCGTTCTTACAACTAAGTAAATAACTTTAATTAATAGCTTTTTTCCATAATCTTGCTTCTGTCATTATCTGTAAAATATTAAATAAGTTTACACTTAAGTTTATTACACAAATACCGAGAACATTTCTTTTACATTTGGGTTTTTATTCTTATCTTTAGTAATAGTTCAAAGCTTTGTAAAGATCGCTAATGTCGGTCGATTACGAACTTTCTATCCCTGTAAGCCATATGAACACTGGCGACGGACCAATAGGATAATTAACTCTATTAAAAACTATTATTATTGTCAAGCGATAATTATATTTTTATATTTCTTGGTTGTTTGCTGGGAATACGAAAGTATAGCTATATGTATATAGTGATACTACGGGAAACTAAAAAACTAGTAAACTATAAGTGAGCAATCGCCGAAATAAGCCCGGGACTTGCGGCTAGATACGAGGCAATAGTTTTCCATCATGACAACGCTCGGCCTGATATTGCACGATCGGTTAAAACCTATTTTGAAAACACCGGCTGGAAAGCTTTGTATCATCCGCCTTATAGCCCAGGCCTTGCCCCTTCTAACTAATATTTGTTTCCGTCGATGGTTCACTGGAATACGGTTCATATCAGAACAGGGTATTAAAAATTGGCTTGATTTATTCTTGGTCATCAAGCTGGTAAAACCTACAAATTTCCAAAAATATGGGAAAATATTATAGCTTCAGATAGGCAATACTTTGAACAATACTATTGTACATGTTTTTCTAAAAGAAAAGTTCAAATTAAAAAAAAAGCGGAAGCGAATATACATAGTTGTAGACCCAATATGTATGAAACCTTATATCTATCTCGATTAATTTTAGGTGTTTAAAACACACTTCAAGTGAATCAAACTAATTATATATATACATACATATGTACATAAATGATTAGCGTAACAAGCTGAGTTGATTTAGCCATATCCGTATGTTTATATATACGCGAGATATATACAGTTTTTAAGATATCGATTAGATATTTTCCAAACGTGCTTTTCTCCCAAAGAAGCTGCTCGGACCGTCGATATCACACCACTATAGCATATATTTACACAGCTGATTACAAACTGAACGAACTTTCTTGTATGAAAAACTTTGTGGTTTGACGAGATATCTTCACGAACTTTGGGGTGGATTATTTTCCAGGCCAACGCTACTATATCTGAAGAAACTTTTCAGATTGGAATACTATAGTATATAGCTGCGATGCAAACTGAACGAAAGTAAGGTTTTTTCTTATAATTATTTATTTCATAAATCTGTAAAATTCACGGAAAATATCAAATAATTTTTCAATTATTTACTTTGTGCAGTATTTTGTTACATTTTTGTTTTAAAGCACATTGTTTTTGCTTTCGTAATTAATTTCAATTTTATTTTCCACCTCTTCTTTGTTATATTTTTGTATTTTGAATTTTGTTTTGCATTCACTACCTTCTCAGACCAATTATCCGCCGCTGTGTTATTTACAATGGATGTGAACAATTCAACGGTGTCGACACTTTCGTTTTCGTCATAACACAGGGTGTACAAATCGAACACAAAACGCGAATCCTTTTTATAGTGGCGCCGCTTTTGTGGCACTGGTAGTGAGCTAAAATCATTATCGCCATCGAAATCCATGACTGAGCAGCGTGGTCAACAAGGTTTCCGCGCAGTAAATGAATGCCTTAATAAAATATTATTTTTTCACTTTCAATTGCGCGTTAAAAAAAACAGTTATTTCGCTTGCTTTTCACACAACGGAAGAGTTGACTTTTACTTATTTAACTTGTTTTTAATAAAATGCGCTAAAACACTTGTTTCAAAATAATTTTTTTTCCACATATTTGTTGTTTTTGTTTTTCTCTTTGTTTGCATATATTATTCTTATTTTATTTTAAACTTCTTTCCACAGTTAGGCTAGAGCGCCGTTATGATTCACGCCAACAACGTAGTCGAACTGTCTAAGACGCTTCGACGTTGGAGCATACAGAGCACGCGGTTAAAGCGACCGACCCACTAAGCCGACGTCTTGAACCCAAAGTTAACACTGTCGTGGGGTTGCGAAAGTTAAGCTGCCATGCCACAAGCATGCGCCAAACCACAATACACCAGCTGAATAGCTAGAGAGCAACTGTTGCAGCAGTAATAAATTTAGCAGAAGCAACACGGCGCTCGAAACAATAACAACAAAGAGCCATAAACCGATTCAGTCAACGTAGTAGCTGAAGCAATATTTTTTGCTTAACTTTATGTGTGTGTGTATAAAATTTGGAGTCAGCGGTGGCAGTGAATCGTTGCGAATGGTTTAGTTGATCGTCTAACTAACTGAGCGCCAGTTTGCCCACTTTGCTGACTAGTCAATAGACTGGCGGCTGACGGCTGGCTTAGTGACGTTGTACCATCGAGTAGCTTCGCAAATAAAAGCAAATCATGTGCACAAGTCAGCGAACAAAAACAAAAATTAGGAACAGGTAAATCGTTATTAAAAATTAAAAATGTTTATGTACTTCACAAATACTCGTACCATGTACATATTTACTGTGTTGACAAAGTGCACTGAGAAAAACAAACGGGCTAACAGTGCATATACGTGCAAGTCCCAAAAATATTTTATTATTAACGGTATCGTAATAAATTCTTGTTAGCCAGTATTAAAATTCATGAAGAACAAGAAAAATGCTATCTTCGATTGCACCGAAGCTGTAATACTCTTCACAAATACATAACATATCATACAAGAACTTGATTTATATAATGTAAGATGTCTGGATCGGTATTCGAACTAACGACCTTCAGAGTTAAGGCCACATAAGCGGCATTGATTGATTTCTATAAGTACAAGACTATTTTTTATGCCCGCAAAGCTTAATAGCAAACGGGTTCCGAAAGTTCTAAGTGAAAGAATGCCAGAATTTGTAACAGAACAATAAGGAGGCCTACACTGTATAAGAAAAGTTTTGTTCTACTTGAGTTTTGAAATAAGAAAGAGCTTTTGCTCTGGTAATGTAGTTTTTACTACGCCAAACTCACTTTGATGGCTATAACGCCAATTAAGAAGGAACAAACCTAATGATTGGAATATACATCCCTCCAAAGTAGGAGTGATATCTGGTTTTCTCTTTGAAAATATCAACTTCTTTGATATTTGCTTTCTAGCTAATAATGTATTGTCTTATGGTATATGGTGAATATTTGCGTCGTAAGCAACCTCGAGATCTACTCTATAAGGCAGTGGGAAAGTAAAATTAAATACGATTACCGCCTATAACTAATTTGTCCGAATGTGAATTTGTACTATTTCAAATGATGTTTACGAATTTCCTAGGGTTTGAGCCTTTCTAAAAACGTGGTTGTAATCAGCGGATGTTCAGCTAAAAGATTATCTGGTGGAATCAGAAGAACCTAGATCTTTCCCTGCAAGGTTTTCTGAAAGTAGAAATTCATATCAGTAGGCTGGAATTCAGAATCTGGACAGAGTCTACCGAACTGCACCGTACAATAGACAGCACATATCATTAAAAAAATCTTAAATCTAAATGGCCCTTAACCTTATTAATTTAAAGAAAAGAAACTCATGCAGTTCTCTTAACCAAGTCGTAAACTAACTTAACTAATATCGATTTCTTCATGTTGAATAAATTTTTCTAAGGTCTGCCCTTCATAAATTTAGAATAACACTTTTTCTCCTGCTTATCAAAACATTTCCGAGCCGCAACATACTGGGTTAGGTTAGGTTAGATTAAATGGGCAATCCTAATAGGGATCTCACTTAGACAGCTTGTGGTACTCTTATAAATCGAGAAAGCTCTTTGAACCGATCACAAATTGATTGCGGCGGCTAATGTCGCCGAAGATATGATGGCCGAGATAGATGGATCTACGAAAAAGTGTCTGGATGTTTCCATATAACCTTCCTCCATACAACTTTGACAATTTGCGTCCGATTGCATTTTTAGCCTTACATCATGAATACTTATTGGACAATGGCCAGTAAGAATTCCTACGATTTCGACAAGATGAACTTTGCTAAGGACAAGCAGTGCGGTAGATCTGCTAAGTTCACTCTAGGTCAGAAGGATTTCGCAGTCGCACACTGGTCGTCGACCAACGCCTGCTAAGCGCAAGCAGGGTCTATGGGTGCTAGAGCACAAGATGACAACGGAGATCCAACTCGTTTGAAGTGAGCGGATTATGGGTGGCCCCTCTTGCTAGCTCATCGGTTTTGCAGTTTCCAGCTATTTCGCTATGACCAGGCATCCAAACGAGTCTGATGATGAAGCAGCTTCATACTATACTTTATACTATACCACTCACCTTTTTCTCAATCTCTTTAGCCAGTTTAAGATGCTGCTGCAAGGTTTCCATATCAAAATCTCCACCAATTTTATAAGCATCAAATAAATCTGTAAATAAATGACAGTTTATGACTTTAATACTTCGCATGATAGCACTTCGCTCTAAGAGCTCTATTACCCAAAGCACTTGGTGAAGCCAAATCAGTGCTTGCGCACTTACCACCATGATTTTTCACCGAATTCTTTAAATATTCCGCCCAGGCGGACATTTTCGTATAGCGGCTGTTGCTCAAAATTAGCTCCTTGTTGCTAATCAATTGTTGATATTGATGCATTTCGGCTTCCTCGCGACGGCGATTCGCATTTTCTTCGCTATTTCTCGAGCTACCACCCATATTGGTGCGCTTCGAACTGAAAAAACGACTGGTGAAACCCGTTTTCGAGTGATTACGTCCAATCTTGCTGCCACCTGACGCTTTAGTGGGTTTTTCTGGTTTCTCATGACTTTGTCCCGCCGATTTGCGCGTGTTGCGTACGTTTTGCTGACAACGCTTGTACTCAATAGCTACGGGCGGTAGCTGACGCTCATCATAAGATGCTTTTTGGTATTTGGGTCGCATTTGTGCGCTACTTGTATTGCTAACGGTACTTACATCCGTAACATCATCTCGCTCTCTTGGGCTACCGCATTCCCTTTCTTTGGCGTGGCATGCATTTATTTCTTCTGAATCACCGCAACGTCCATACGACCAGTCGACCGCATTATTGTCCTCCATAAAGTCCATTGTTGGATCTTGTTCTCCACTCTTGCTAGCAGTTTCTGATTTCGCTTCAGCTTCGGTGGTTTCATCTTCCTTATTTTGTTGTAATGCCGTAACATATTTATCGGAGTCAATAAGATCTTTTGCGCTCGAGAGCATCGCATCTGATACCTAGAAGAATGTAGAGTTTTTAGGGGTTTGTTTATTATTATGATAGGTGGTTAAGAAAGAGAAAACGAGAAGAGAGAAAGCTGCACTGGCCGGCTCTGAAGCGAATTAGTCAGTCGATATCTCTGAAATAACGACCAGCAAATAGCAGTAGAAGCTTTTATGGGCTGTCGTTTGAAATATCTCAGCGAGAACGTGGTTAAAATTAACTTTTTAGATTTATCAGTAAAATAGGATTTTGAGTAAAATACTGATATAGGAACAAATTTTCCTGTCAAGTCAAAGGAATCTAAAATAATTAGGGGACGTTTTTTATACAAAATTATTAGTGTTTGTAGTCATATTTTAAAGCGTGTACCCTTATATTTCCAAATTTTCATTTGTTATAAAGTTTAAATACAATATATTGGAAAATCTACAACAGATTTCCTGTCAATTTTCTAATATCCATTACTTATAAGGGAATTGAAAAAAGTCTATAGAAAAGCTCTCAGCCCAATTAATACTTCTAGAAATCTTAACGTTCATTACCTTTTCAATCGGTTGTGGCTGTCCGACCTCATTATCGTCTTCGTTTGCTTCATCATTGGTTTCGACCAAGCGCCTGTAGCCGCTGACCAGTAGGCCAAATTCTCTTTCCACCTCCTGCTCGAAATTCCCAATTATATCCACTGGTGTTATGCCAAAGCTCACACCGTCATCTTTACCGATATCATTAGAACGCACTGGCGTTGTGGCACTACTACGGCGCTCACTGGATACGTACGTTTGTCCATCTTTTCTTTTCAATTCTCGTTTTTCCACCGCATTGTCCAGGCGCGCAATTTGGTTAAAATCTTCAAAAGCCGAAGGCGTTTCGGTGCGTTTACGCAGTGGTTGTGGGCTCACACCGCGCAACAAGTCCGGGCGATTCTCCTTTTTCGAAAGCTGTTCAACACGTAAACTAGAATTCTTCAATAAAATGTCTGGCGTGGTGCCATACACCTGCTGTCTCTCATCGGATATTTGTGCGACTAATCGACACTTCTGATCACAACGAAAGGCAAAATTATCCGCAGAGTTTATAATATAGGCATCAGAGTAATTATCGGGTACATTTAAAGTGAGCAATTGTCGTAAGTTGTCGTGCAATTCATTTGCAATCAATGCGCCCAATTTGCTGTGTTGCTCTTTTTGATGTTGTTGTTGTTGCTTCTGGAGCTCCTCGCTGGTCGTTTTGTGTGTGATGGTGCTATTGCTGTTAGCATCAGTGTAAGCTGTTAGGTTGGGTTGTAGCTGTTGTTGTTGCCGCTGCCATTGCTGTTGTGCAATGTCGGTAGACAGCTGACTCTCGACTTGCGCTCTTTTATGGCTGCTGTTGCTATTGTTGCTGCTGTTGCTATTGTTATTGTAGATATTCAGTTTGGTATTTAATTCTGCCTGTTGTTCCTCGCTGGGCAGCTCTTCACAACTGTCGGCGCTCAATTCCATTTCACACTCGGACATGTCACTGTCATACGAATCGGATGGTGTGCAACCGATGAAATGTTCGGAGAGTGTGTGCGCTAAATGTTGAAATCCAGGATAATTTGGATTGATTATACCACGCGGAAAGTAGGAGCGTTGTGGTGTGCTCAAAGACACGCTCGATGAAGTTGGTGATGTTAGATATTCATCTAAAATTGTAAAATGGAACAAATGGAAAATCATTATTTTATACAAAATTGTATAGTGGGTCCTATGGAAGGCTTAGCTACTATACATACATGTATGAATAATCATTTCATGAACATTGTTCAGTGAGGCATTTGGCATTGTATTCTGTCAGTGATCAAATGGGCAGGACTATGCAATAATGCCTCATAGGTCCCAGTTAGCTAGCGCAAAATTTGATACATTCGCCAGCTTTACCAATAAACGAAAACTAAGTATTGTAAGTTTGAAGTATCAAAATTGCCCACATTCATATATGAACCATTTTTTTTTTGTAAAAATGTTGAGCCAAATTCATAAAAAAATCCTTGAAGTTACTGTGGTCGACATCGGCCAGATTTTAAAATTTAATTCGCTCAGTTTAAAACCTTTGACCGAGTAATTAAACTATGCAGTAAGTACGTCGTATCAGATCTATAAACAAAACAAAGCAAGGCTTCAACAAAATTTTCCTAAAATCACATGAATTCGAACATTTATATTTGGAATTCTGTTACAGAAGTTGACGTGGCTGAGGAATTTCGAATCAGATGTTACAAAATACCAAAATTCACCATAAACAATGAATAAGTAAGCTCCCGAAGTGTACTCGTACACTCAGACAACAAATGAGTTAAAATGGATTAGAATAGGTATTGGAGGCAGCAAGGTATGGAATGATTCATTTAGGTAAAAATTTGTAAGTTAATGTTGCCCGACAGCGACATAAAATCATCACCAAATAGTATTGTAAGAGACCTTAGTCGGATATATGTATGTAGAAATATAATACCTATTTTTTAATATATATTATAACCATACCTAATTCATCGTTGTGCTGTTCGACGTCTGATTTATGGTCGCGATCATTACACAAATCCAACATAGATTCATCATTATAATAATTTTCCGAATCCTGCACATTTCCGGCGAAACACTCGCCTGTCGACGCTATTGGCCTTACTTGTTGCTGATGATTTGAATTTGGTTCATTAACGGTAACGCTTAAACCCTTTTTCATCTCGTTGCTACAATCGATGTGGCAATCGCTTTGACTCACATCCGTTTCAACGCCAGTGCTGTAATTATCACACTGCTTCTCCACAGGGTTCGTAACGGTCTTTGATTTGCCGAATTTTGTTGTACGCTGAAACAAAAATACAGTTTTCAAAATATATAAAATATTTAATTAAAACGGTATATCGATAACTAACATTGACTTTTTCGTAATCATCCAAAGCGATTGCGGCACGATTCACATACACCTCCTGGAATCCCTTATAGGCACTATTGCTATTACCACCGTAATTCTCTAGATAATTTTGTGTTTGTAGATTCGTTTGTTGGTAGTACTCTTCGTATCTGCTGCCGACCAATGCCGGATTGGTATGCGTATATTCATATGGCACTGCCAAGGACGAGCTCAGTGCACGTTGCACAAACTCATCGGCCGAAGAGGTATACGCTGAGGTGTCATTAAACGGAGCACTGGGTAAGTAATCGAAGAAACCAGAAGACGTGGCATTCACTTCATTCACCGGCCAGTTGATATTCTTATTTAACTCTTTACGTTCCGGTTGTAGAGGGCGTAAGGACTCCTCCGGCGATGTGGTTGTTTTTAGTTGTTGTTGTTGTTGTGGTGCTGTTGGATTGTTAGTATTGTGCGTAAATTGTGCAGCATTTCCAGCTGTTAACGTGATGTCGGGAACTCGCATAACGCTCGTGATCTGCGGAAATTTATTTTTTAAGTAGCTAAAATTAGATCAGGCAGGAATTTAGAATTACTTGTATTAGCAAGGAGGTTGTTTCAATATTAATTTAATAATTGTGATTATTTATTCATGTATATTTAAATCTATTTATTTATTTTTAAAATTATTTGATTTTAAATTTTTTTTGTGTGTTTTTATTACTTTGAGACTTCTTCCAAGCGGAAGTCTGTGCTATAACTCGGTGTGTAGAGATAAACCTCCAACGCAACTATCGCAATAAAAGTTTTGTTATACAACGATAGTCGTGCCGCCTGACGCGATCTCTGCCTATGAGGTCAAATCGCTACTAGTGCAGGAGTGTATAGGACGGCTGAACAGCCGCAACCAAGTGCACCTTATTTGGGTGCTAGGGAGAGACATTGGCAACAACTTCAAGGCATGCCAGGTTGCAAATGGGGGGTTACGACCCCAGAAAGTGTAAAAATGTAATCAATCTCCCGAGAAACAAATTCCGGCTCCTTGTCGTGTTCTACATTGGCCATTGCAGGCTTAAAAAGCATCTATACCAAATGGGCTCAGCCTCTTGTGCAAACTACCGGTTCTGTGACATGGAGCTGGAAACCCTAGAACACCTGCCAATAGACTGCACAGCAGTCTGCAGACGCAGAATTAGGGCCCTTGGATTCATGTTTCCAAATAGGGATCACATCGCTTCATTAGCAACTAACAGTATATTGGAGTTTATCAATGTGCTGGGGCTAAGTGAGTCGTTGTGACTTAGGGAAGGGCACAATAGACCATATGCAAGGATGACATAATGCGAGACTCTCTCATGTTCCCGAATTGTTCTTTTTTTCTCTTTCCCTGATTATTAAGGTTAGGGAATTTTAAACAGCCGATATCAAAAAAGGGGGGATGCCAGAAATAAATCCGCAAAAAATAGCTAACAAAAGCAGTGTGAAACGAAATTTTAAGGAACGTGCAGCTAAAGTTTTTTTGCTAATTTAATTTAAAACGTTAATCATAAAACCATGATATTTTATTATGACTTGTATTGTTTCTTTGTTAAAATTTTTTTTTTTTATATATAATTTTTTTATGTTATATGATGTTTTAAAAATATTTTAATATGAATGCACGTATTTAGGGATATATATGCGTTATGTCGGCCTACTCGGGAACCAAGCACTTAAAAATAATAACGAAATGCAAAATACCCAAAAGTTATTTTTAAAATACCCAATCTAAAATCTAATTATTAATCCAAAATTTGGTAAATAAAATATGTTTACTCCAGATTGTAACTTTATTCATTTAAAATTATTATATTTAAGCAACACTTGAATTAGTTTACATACATACACCTATTTCTGATTCAAATACTCACCAAAAATTTACTTTTGTGTCATAATGGTATGACAAAGAATGATAAATTTGTATATGCACGAATAAGGTACGCGCCTATATGTAAGTAATATGTATGTACATTAGGGTAGAGCGAAAATAAATTTTTTTTTGTTTAGCCTGGGGGTAAAATCTGTATTTTTTTTAACATCTAGAGGCGGTGCACTCAGTGTTAAAGTAAATTTGTGAGTTAAAATTTTTATTTCGTAAAAAAAATTTGGTAAGTGTTCTAGAAGCTGTGGAGAGTCCTGTTACTGGCCAATTAAAATTTATCAACTTCAAAAAAAATAAAGGGCTTCGCCTCTAGATTTAAAAAAAATTTTTTTTTGTCACAAATTTTTCTTTTTTTCTCTAAGATTTTACCCTCAGGTTAAGCAAAAAAAAACAAAAAAAATTCGATCCACCCTAATGTACTTGTGTACAAGCAAATTTTTATCCAGCATTATTTTTTCCTAAAGGACTCGCAAAGAAACACCTTATACTTGTATATATAATATAATAAACAACCAGTTTTAAAAATGAATAACTTCATTGATTTAATTTTTCGCAGAAAGTAATTTGAGACCTCAAGTAATTCACTTAGACATATATATGTATGTACATATTTAACTGCAACTGAAAGTCCATGTATTCAAATCGATTTTACAAACGAAAACCTACTAGTGGTCAACAGCACTCAACGTTAAAAATGAAAGAAAATTTCTTGTAAACTAACTTACAATATTATATATCTGATGTTTATAATACATACTCGTACATATACTGCGGTTAAAATCTTATTTTCAACAAACTTTCAAAAAAATCAATGCTGTTGCAAAGATAATAATTAAGTTTAATTAAATTCATAATTATATGTAACTTACTTTCGGTTATTTACAAAAATATTATATTTAGCAAACACTTCAAATAATTTTACAATATTTTCCTCAAAAAATCAATAAATTATAGTTTTGATTCACTATCCTTGCTGTATGTAAAGTTGGCAATCTTTTCAGCGAGACATACCGTTTTTTGTATAACAACGAGCGTTTTTATTTGTTGCCGCACACAAATTATTTTATGCAAGCTTTATTTCCATATTATTTGAATATCACATGCTGCACGTTAAATTTTGCAATCGAATTTATTATATATTTTTACAACTCACACCCTTTGTGAATAATTGATTTTTACTTTCGATTTCGATCGGCGCACTAAATGACAACCAGACCAACTACCGCTCCGGACTATGATGTTTAGCTATTTGCAATTGGTTGAAGTCACTGGTTGGGCTTTAAATCCTCAATTTCTCTATGCGCATGTGCATCACAGTGACATTTGTGACAAGTGTGCAAATCGCATGCAGATGTTTGTCTCAAGGGAAAAGTCCTTGTATAATTGTCAGTATTGTCCTAAAATTCAACTAAATGTTGTTGAAATAAAAAATTAATTGATTATAGTTACAGCGTTTATTAACCAGAATTTTTATTATATACTAAATATAAATATTTTCACTAAATTAACTGTCACACTATTAACTAGTTGGAAAATATTCTTTTTCGAAAGCCAAAAAGTCTTCCTCTGTGAAAATTGATTTCAGCACTTTAGGTTTCTTTGCTGTCTTTATTGTTTTGCCTTTGTTGTTTCGCTTTATAATCTGCAATGTCATTAATGAAAAACCAATTACACTAATTATTAATGACTTCTCACCTTATTAGCATCATTGGGCGTTATTGTATTTTGTGATAGCGCCAATAAGCGCTTCAGGTTTATATTTGTTTTATTTTTGTCGGGCAGCAACTCCTTGCGCACATCTTCTATATTCTTTTTCTCCTTAGTTATATACTCTAAAGTGTGATGTTGCTGATTGTTTGTATGCTTCCTGTTGGATTTGCTTAGGTGAGCATTCTTTGCAACAGTTTTTGCTGTTTTCTGTTTACCTGCAAAATGTTTTATAGCTTATTGTAGTCAGTTTTGATTAGCAAGTCAAAGTCGACGGTGAAGTCGTGATAAGTTTAATCTAGAAATCATAACACGCCTTTGTCTTATTACACACATTTTTCATTATTAGATGGTGTTTCATCTAGTATATCCAAACTTTGTTTTAATAATTTAAGCGACATTTCTTATAATAATTTTGTTTTGATATATTTCTATTGCTGCTTGCAAGCAATTTGATTTGTTTACATTTATTTTGATTCGCAACCTGTCTCAACAGGGCTGCTTCAAACACGTGTGCTTTTTTCAACAATTTAATAGTCCACCACGAACAGGGATGAGTTTTCTTAAAAATTTCGTTTATATTAAGCCAATTATATGCCAATTCCTCATGTTCGCCACCTACCTCCATATATATTCTAGGGTATATAATTATTTCTAATAAATTATTTGGAACTATTAATATAACGGTGACAAGATTTTTGAATATCACTTGATTACAAAATGTGAAATATTGTGTGAATTAGATTTGTTTAATAATTTGGAATTAAAAATTGTATTTATAAATTTAATAGTAAAAATTTTAAATTTAATTTGTATATCAGAAATGTGAATTATTGAATGAATTAAATATGTTAAAAAATTTGGGATTAAAAATTAAAATGGTATTGTTTCATTTAATAGTAAAAATTGAAAGTATATTTTTTAACCGGAAAATAAGAATTTTAAATTGATTAAATATAAATGTTTACCGATTTGTGCTTTAGAATATTGAAGATCTACTTAAACAATTTCTTAATTCTTAACCAATTTCTTTTTTAAATTTTTAAGTAAGTAAAAATTGTAATTCAAATCTTGATTAAATTATTTTATTTCATGCATTATTTGCAGCCCTAATAGATATTTAATCAACATACATAAGATAGCTTCAAAATAATATACACATTTCATTTTATATTGGTTAAGACTTGAATAAAATACGTCAAAATATACATTGATGTTATAGCCATTCAAATAAAATTATGTACAGAAATATTTATAAATATGAGGCAACTCTTTTGCAGGTAAAAATGAATCAAGCATATACCAACCGAACGAAGGAAAACTCGAAAATAAACGAAATACTTAACGAAATGAACTCGAGCAAACTGAACGAAGTGAACAAATACGCCGCCATTTTCTCTTGTGCATTTCTATGTCAATAGTTTACTAATATCAAAATTTTTGGTGGGGTTTTGTTGGGGCAAATTGCACAATTTTCCCATAGAATTATACAATTTTTAATTCGAATCGTGTAAAAAGTGTAGTGTGATATCAGAAAAATGTTCGTACGCTATTTGGATTATGTAATGACGCATCGAAGAGGCCAATAAAGCCATTGAATAAGAATCGTGCGTGCGAGCGAACCGAGCTGTGGCCAACGGCAACAGCAGCATCAACATTCGTCCAAAACGCAACCTGAAGCTGCATCAGCTCATTATTATATTTCAGAAAGTGAATATTTGAAAAAAGTATAGTGGCGATTTAATATTGAGGTCTCTACCTCACATTGCGCAGCCTATGCTGCCTAATTAAAGAGTATCAAGAACCCCTGTAAGTCCCCATGCTAGAACATACCCCTTACACCGTGTAAAAGTTGTTTGTGTTTCTGTGTGAACGTTCAAAGACCGAGGAAGTTTCCTCGAACTTTACTCTTGCGAACTAAGCTCGTTCATACCTGTTCAACGATAATATATAGGGGTTAAAGAAGAGACCAGAAATCAACTACTACGAAGACAATAGGAAAGAAAACCAACAAAGGAGTTGAAACGTGAGTATATGTGATTTTTGGTGTGAAATATTTAAGGTGGCTGTCCCTAGTAGTTCAATAACAACTCTCGTAAATTTTTAATGAGTTATAAAATGCACTTAAAGGAGGTGAAACCTACGGAGGTTTTATAGGCCACGTATCCTTTTATGTGTGCCAATTGTGCTTTAAATATCAATAATGTTGAAAGAACTTTATGTAAATTTTTTGAATAAATTATATTTAGAGTAAAATAAAACCACTCTTATTCAACGGTATACATATTAAAAAATGTATTGAATTATGTATTGAGATTGAAAATGTTTGAGAAGTTTGATCATACAATTGAATGAATTTGCCTTATTAAAATAATGCATTTTGGTTTCATAATGTAGAAAAATAATTAGATTTAAAAGTTTAAGACTTAAAATATTTGAACTATACAAAAGGGAACATGCCGTTACCACAATATTAATGTATATTGTAATACTAATGATAAATATGTTTGCAGGTAGTCGTTTTTATAAATTACTTGTTACAAAGAAGTACACATACAACGCGCATTTTAAATCCACAATGGCAACCAGTGACGATGAACCCATGCACCTTTATGAGGTGTTTCAAAATTGTTTTAATAAAATAGCAAACAAACAACCAAGCACTGGTGGACCTGAACGAAATGGCGGCTATCAATCACCCTACGGCGGTCTGGGCATGGAAAATGGCATGTACCCTAATGACGACTTCAATCCTATGCATGACACTCCAGGAGGCAGTAATCGATTCGGTGATGGCGGAGCTGGAGTAAATCAGTATTTTGACACAAATCTCGGAAATGGTGGTGGTGGTGTTCCGCCTGGTGCTAGTGGCGGTCCCGGTGGAGGCTGGTACTCGTCAACCGTAGGTGGCTATGGAAATCAAAACTCATATCAAAATAATGGACCGCTGGATCCTCATCACTTAACACCACAACAACACCATAATCCTGAGGCACAACATCATGGTATGACTGGTGGCAGTAGTATGGGTGGCGGGCTACCTATTGATAGTGTGGGAATGCACAGTCCAGTGCCTACATCGCTACCGCCAATGAGTTCATTTCGTAGTGGTAACAATAATATGCAACAAATCAGTGGTCCTGCGGCGCACTCGCCAGCGACGCTTTACAATTCGCCACAACACAATACTTTAGCGACGGTAAACGCTCATGGCCATCATCCGCTTTCCCATCACAGCCAACAACACAGTCCAGCAGTACAGTCTGATGCCTTTGGTGTAGGCGTTGGTGTTAGCGGTATGGGCTTAGGACCGAAGGGCCCATCTGCAACTGCGGGAAATTCGACTGCCTCTTTGCGACAGCACATGTATATGACTGCTGCGGCTGCGGCCGCTGCCGATCAAAGTATAAGCAGTTTTAGTTCAAATCCTTCAACGCCAGTAAACTCCCCACCGCCTTTGACGCAAAGTGGTTTAACACAATCACTGCTGGATAAATCAGTTGTTGGCAGCACAGGTGGTGGGGCACCATGGGGAGCGGTTCTCAATAATACTGGAGGTAGTGTAAACTCGGTTGGAGGTGGCATGGGTGTTGGTGTTGGCGGTAGTTATGGTACAGACGTTGGCCCATCCGGTTTGCATACAATGGCAGCTGTCTTCCAGGGTGCGCGAATGGAGGAACGTCTTGATGACGCGCTCAATGTGTTACGCAATCATTGTGAGCCTGAATTGTTGAGCGGTGTAGGGGCAGCTCTTTCTGCCATGGACAACATGGATGGCTTATCTAGTTTTGTGCCAACTTCTCCGCCATCTCATATGGTTGGCGGCGTTGGCAGTACAAGTGGCGTTTCAAATCTACATTCACCACATGATGTTCTAGCAGGCAATGGTCCGACACTTGATTCGGTCGGTAGTGGTCTAAATGGTAGTCAATCGACAGTACCACAAATCAAAATGGAAAGAACAACCACGGCAACATCAAGTGCAACTGGTACCACATCGAAGTCGTCTAAGAAACGGAAAGAAGCGGCAGCAGCCGCAGCTGCAACATCTGCAATGTCAGCAGCAACGGCCAACTCTGGTGCAGGTGCCTCGACATCATCAATGAGCGGTGCCATGGGCGGTATTGTGGACGGACCCGATAGCAAACCAACCAGCTCAATGGAGGCTACACACAACAATCAGCAAGGAGCGTCAGGGAAGGGCTCAAAACGACCACGTCGGTACTGCTCATCCGCCGAGGATGATGACGACGTAGAACCTGCCGTTAAAGCGATGCGCGAAAAGGAACGCCGCCAAGCGAACAACGCGCGAGAACGGATACGTATACGTGACATTAACGAAGCATTAAAAGAACTGGGACGAATGTGTATGACACACCTGAAATCGGACAAACCGCAGACAAAACTCGGAATACTAAATATGGCCGTGGAAGTGATAATGACACTGGAACAGCAAGTACGCGAACGTAATCTGAATCCGAAAGCGGCGTGTTTGAAGCGTCGGGAAGAGGAAAAAGCCGAAGATGGTCCAAAACTTGCTGCGCAACATCATATGTTACCACAACCACCCGGCGGTGGTGTATACGGACAACCGCCAATGCCACAGGTGTCTGTTCCACCAGGCGCCGGCCTGCCCGTACCGCCACCACAAGGCAGTGGTGTGCAATTGCCACCACATCTACAACAACACAATCAACAACAACATCCACAACAATAGCAGGCGGCAGCAGCAGCGGCAATAGCAGCAGCTACGGCACTTATGACTGAACCTCCCACTTCCCAATTACCTTACAGTACCCAACAGCAGCAGCAACAGGAGGCCATCAATAATAGCTCCAACACAGCGAACGCTATCGATTTGGAGCAACAAATATTGAGTAACCTTTTTCGGCGCAGGCATCCGCCGCCACCACATCTACAACAACACAGTGGCAACAATGCGCATGCGCAATTGCAACCCCAACATGCACAGCACCAGCAGCTGTAGGCAGGCAGGCAGACAAACAAAGCAGGCAGTCTCTGTGTTGCCAATTTGCAATTTTGCCCCGGTGAATAACAATAGTGATGTTCGGTTGTTCTACGTTGGTAGTGGTGGTACGTTAACACAAACAATGCACCACGTCCCTAACACACACCACACTCATACTACGGAAGCACAAATGCACGCACATAGCAGCGTCACAATTGTAAATAATTGATAATTGAGTAAGAAATAGTATATACATATACACTATATGTATGTAGTATACTTTTAGTTTTTACTGCTAATTCTATGCGTTATTCTTGTTTAATTAACAAAAGAAACGCACATTTTTTTACCTACTCTTTCTTTTAGTTAGTGCTGATTTCTTTTACCGATTTATGTTTAATCTTACGCATACAGTGTTGATTTGTTTAGAATTTTATCAATAATCTATTTTATTTCAAACTTTTATTTTTTTTTTTTTTCATTTTCTACTTGTCGTACAACAACAAATTATGTACACTTGTACATACGACAGCCATATTTTTCTATACCTTTTATAACTTAAGTAGTATAATGATAAGTAGATTTGGTATCGCTTCGTTTGTCGTTTGTTTGTTAACTGTAATTGTGCATAGTTTTTATTCGCCATCATAAATCAATTCATCCCCATAAATATTTTTTATACAGCTATTTAGTATGTTGTTGCTTTAGGTCAAAAAAAATTATTTTTAGTAGCGCAAAAATGAAAGAGACAGAGTTCTATTCCCACACTCCACACTCCACACTTTAAATATTATTCGTATAAGCAGTAAAGTTTTTTAATTACACTAAAATGTAAAAAAAGGCTAAACGCTCGGTGAAGTTAACAGTAATGTTAAAAGCTATAGCCACTTTTCTTCCCATGTTCGTTTTTTTTTCTTAAGTTTGTATGTGGAAGTTTTAACGCAAAACAAACAAATGTTAATAACAGCAGACTGTTTACTACGGCAATATACTTAGACTGAGCTTATTTATTAAAAATTCAAAGTCTAATTTTTAATTCAAGTTGATTTAAAAAAATGTTAATTTGAAAGTTTAATTGCGAATTTTGTAATTCAAACATTTTGCATTAAAAATTAAATTTTCAATTTTTAATTCAGAAAATTAAATTTTTTAAAAATATTTCTTCATTTAATAATAAAATTTGAAAATTGAAAGTTTAATTCTTAATTTCAAGCATCTTGCATTAAAATTTTAGAAAATATTTTTAATTTAAAAACTGTATAAACGAAATTAAAATTATTTTTCAAAATTAAAGCTGTAATGAATAGGGATACAAAAAGAACGATCACATATTTCTAACTGAATCATTATAATTAAGAACAATTATATATAAATACATAAATAAGACAAAAAGTGTTAAACTAGTTGAAGTCTTATCAAAAAGAAGCTTTCCTTTTTAAAATATAACCGAGATTTACACAAGCGCGAAAAAATTTAAATTCTAAAGTAACTTTTTTTAAATTTTTAATTATAAACTTTGCATAACAATTTAATTTTATTTTTATCAAATCGGTATTAGGAACAAAAAAAATTTTTTTTAGTCCGGTTTTTTGGTATTAATTTTTTTGGAAAAGTTAAAAAAATGTTAATCTCAAGTTTATAATTAAAAAGTAAAGAAAAATAAATTAAGAATCAATCCGGCATTTGAGATTAGTATTAAAAAAATTATTTTATATCTATAATTTCAGAATTACAAAAACTAACTGTTTTGAATATAATTCATGCAAACGTTTTATTTTATTTTTTTATTTTATTTATTGATTTTTTTTTTTAGATTTATTTCTTTAATTTTTAAATATATTGACTTATTTTTTTTTTAATATATTTTCCTTTATTTATTTATTTTTAATATATTTTTCATTATTTATTTATTTTTATTATTTTTTTATTTTTATTTATGTATTTATTTTTATTTATTTATTTATTTTTATTTATTTATTTATTTTTATTTATTTATTAGCGCAATTCTTTTCAAGCAAAATACAAACAGAAGCTCATTTTAAGTATATTTGCGTCACTGCTATTGTTTTTTTTTATTTAAATAAGTCTTTAAAATTCTTTTTAGCTCAATTAATCAATATAAAGTAATGCATATAGTTTATAGGGGATTACACGCCCGTCTGACAATCAAATACATTCTGCCATAGAAAAGTTTAATGACAAATTGTCGTTTTTTAAGAGTATTAAGCACTAATATGTTTCGTTTGTGGAACATTAGAGGCGTTGTGGATTGAATTGTAGCATAAAACTCCAGCAGCAGCTAAAAAATTAGGTTATATCATATGTCATGCTGATATTTTATTATTTTTGATATAAAATAAAAGTTCTGTCTGTCCAACTCTTCATATTATAGCGTAACTTTAACTGTTAGACCAAAATTAAATTATTAAATTTCTTTTTTTATTGTGAACGTATGAAATTTCAGCAAAACCATTTTGAATTGCAGTATATATGTATGTAAATAATTGTCACTAGACTGTTAGAACTAAAAAACAAATATAGTTCATAACCTTCACATTTGTGAAAGTGAGTAGTAATGCTGCCTTGGCGGTCACCGAGCGGTGTGTTGCATTATACATATATATATACCATATATATATAACAAAAGTACTAGAACTGTTTTGTAATATAATAAACAAGTAAAGTGAAATAAAATCGAGTGAATGAAGCGAGGCAGTCGTGAATATGGGCTAAAATAAATTAAAGTAAATATAAAAACAAAACAAAACACACACAAATTGAAGTTACATATATACATACATAGAATAATAATACTTAATTATTAGCTGCATATAAACATAGGTACATTAATGTATATGTAATAATTATTATGACTATATATACATATTATATATATATATAAATAATAAATACAAATATATAAAATGGTTTAAACTTAATGATATAGAATTTAAGACCGCACAAAAAAAAACGTTATGCAAGTTAAGAATGTTGATAACAAAACAGAAAAAGAACGGTATGATAAGAAGTTCAAGAGTAACGCTAAGAGATTTTTGGGTAGCTATTGCAGTTAAAAAGAGCGCGCAGGTTAGTTTAAAGTATTTAATAAAATTATAGTGAACCAGCAGCAAGTGCTTTTTGAAATGCCAAAACGTGAAGTGCTTGCCGCGACGAAGTGCAAAGTTTGGTTAGCGCATGCGCACAATTAAATGCGTAAAAGTGCATACGTGTTGTGGCAAAAACACACAAACAGTTATTTTTTAATGCCACATGTGTGTAACGCTGCACTCCCGTGACTGTGGATCCAACTTCGCCGCAGCAACACACTTGCGCATTCCATTAAATAATGCTCGAAATTTGTTGTACTGTATTTTGTGACTGCTATTTGCTGTATAAATTATTGCCAAATGCCAAAGTTTGCATTTTCAACACAAAGTGCCAATAGTTTTGCTCAAACATCCCTAATACGCATTCGTATTTTGATGACGATATGAATTTTAATTTTATTTTATTTAGAGAAAATCACAAAATACTCGCATACAACAAATTTTGTTTGTTATTTAAGGAAAAACAAAAAAAAAAAAACAAACGTTCTAAAAATATTGCAAGCCATGCTCGCAGCTCAAAACAAGTTGGCCAAATTTAATTGTAAAGAAATATTATATAAATTTATAAGCAATTGTTGTAGCAAACAAACAAACTGGTGGCCCTTTATTGTCAGAATTAAAAAAAATGTATATTGGAATTTTTATTTTCTTGTTTTAAATTAAATAACCGCAGGGCGAGAAACTGCAGTTATTTTATAATACAGCATGTGTGTAAAAATATCATTGGCTGGTTTACCGTTTTCTGGTTATGCAATAGTTCTTAACTAAATGTATTAATTTTTTTTAAATTTTATTACTATTTTCCACTCAAGCGCACTTTATTATTTGCGAAAATATTATTTGTGTAAAATTTGTTTACTTGCAACGAAGCCTGTTGATGATTAGGTGGCAGCAACAATATGTTGCAATGCAAAATTTTGGAATAAAAAAAATATTTTGACATTTCAGAAAAAATAAATAAACTAAAAAATAACGAAAATTATTAAAAAATTAAATTAAAAAATTTAGAAAATAAATAAAAAAATAATAATAAAAAAATAAATAAAGTATAAAAATACAAAAAAATATAAAAAAAAGTATACAGTAAAATTGTAACAATAAGACTAAATAAAAAAAATTATAAAATAAAATATAAAAATTGATGTGGAAATACAAAAAAAAATTTACGCAAAAAAAAACAAAAAGATAAAATATAAAAAATTATAATAATGAAAATATAAGATAGAATATAATAAATAATAATTAAAACAACATAAAATTAAAAATAATAGTTAATAAAGAAAAATAAGTATCGAAATTTTAGATTAAAAAAGATATTTTGACATTTTCGAAACAAATAAATAAATATATTAATAAAAATAAAAAGAATAAATAAAAATTAAATTAAAAAAATTATAAAATACAATATAAAAATGGTTATAAAAGTATTAAAAAATTGGATAAAAAATATAATAATATAAAATAAAATATAAAAATACAAATATAAAATTAAGAAAAAATTAATATAAAAAATAATAATAATAAATAACGAAAAATAAGCGTTGAAATTTTAAATCAAAGAACTATTTTGACATTTTAGAAAAAATTAAATAAAATATAAAATAATAATGAAAAACATTAACAAAAATTAAATAAAAGAAATAAAAGTTAAAATAATACAAAAAAAATGTATAATAATATAAAATAAAGAAAAATAAGTGTCGAAATTTTAGAACAAACATACTACATATTCGGACAGTTTAGAATTTATAACAAAAATTAAATTAAAAAATTTCATAAAATCAAATATAAAAAGTAATAATAATTAAATTAAATAAAAAATAAAAATTTAAAATCATTACAACTAAAAAATTAAAATTTAAAATAGTATTGCAACCCTGTGCTGCTGCCTCTTCCACGCGTCTTTGTTTGTATGCAATTATACCGTTAAAATTACCGACCTGTCCGCCCGCGCCAACAATTGACATTACCAAGTAGTGAAAGAAACAACACTTATGCCATTACATAATGTTATTTAAATATAGATAAAAATAAAATAAAATTCAAGTTAAGTTGCTTAGTTACAATCGCATGTAAGTTAATATTTTATACAAACAAACGCGCACACTTAGTTAATTTTTTGTTATATTAATTATGATTTATTCTAAGAAGGTTTTTTGTACATTTTTGAAAGCATTGCAAGAAAATTTCATCAAGAAGTAATTACTTAATCAATAAAAATAAGTTTTTTTTAGAAGAAAAAAAAGCCACAACATAATTCTTTGTGAGACCTTATAAAACATGCATACATACAAATATAAAATATAATAAAAATGTAGTATTTTAATTATATACATCCAGTTAGCTGTTTTACCTACATACATACATACAAGTACATATATTATGTTTATATGCTCAAAGTTTATTACTTAGCTATGATAGAGTTTATTTTATTTTATTATTTTTTATATTTTTACATTTGATTTGTATTTTCGTGGATATTGTAAAGGGCCACGCGTCGATGCGTTATCACGTGAGTGTGCAAGCGAGAGCGAAACGAAAAGCGAGAGAGAGAGAGAGAGAGAGATAAAGGAAAAATAATGTATATGTATAGCAAACGAAAATGGTTGAAGAACTAAGGAAATTATATGTATTAATACTATTAAAATGGTAAAATATATCACATGTGTATATTATATGTACTTAATTTTTCAATGTTGTTGTTGGTTTTATTTGTTTTCATGCAACGAAGAGCTGCGGGCTTTCGATTGAGCGCAGTGGAAACCTATTGTTGTTGTGGCGAACGTTGCTACGTTCTGGTAATGTAGAACTACTGTGATCCAAGTATAAGATGAGGTGAATATCGTGGTGAGGTGCACTATGAATTTCTTCCGCCGAACCAAAATGTCAACAAAAAACATTATTTAAGTGTTATGTTATGTTTAATAACTATTGGTTTCTTTATCACGATAATGCGCCATTCTCATACTTTCTCTACTGTTCTTCGCAACTTTTTTTTTCTATTGCCTAAAACTCGACTCATATTCGACTTTTGGCTATTCAAAAAAACTCCAATGGCCAATGCGGATGTGTGTTCCAGAAATGAAATTTCGACTAGAGCAATATTTATGAGTTCGAGAAACCGCGACATCTCAGAATTTCTTGACACTACGCATCTGCTCAGTAATAGCAAATATATAGATATAGATTTCAGAGCATTCATACTTTCCAAAAAGTACGACCTACATCAGATGTCTAACTATTACTGAAGGATAAACAACTCATGTGGACTCGTGAAATTCAAGTAATTCAAAACCTTGTAGTTTATTCTTACGGAAACGGAAATTTATTGGTGGACCTTCCAACTTTCATAATCAGTAATTCTAAACCAAGTCTCTCTTTCTATAATTTATAACGTAACGAAATATTTTACTGTCATACGCACTCAAAAGTCTGAGCTTTAGTGCGGCCAAATATGAGGTTTAAATTTTAAAATATCCGACGCTATCAAAGACCAAGAATACTCTCAAAACTTTTCCTATATTTGAATAGAGTCCTTACCGTAAGATATTGTTGTTGTAGGGACTTAATTGTTTAGAGGCGATACATCTTTGGTCAGATTTAAATACGGATCCGTTCAGGTAGTCGCTGTTCCGACTGTTGTGATAACGCTTGCGATGGATGTCCATGTTATATAGAGATTTTTATTACATACTCGTAATTTATTCTAAAATTAAAAGTATTCAATTACTTTTTTAGAAATCATAATGACCGAAATATATTGTATTTCCAAATAATACTTCATACAAATGTGCAAAAAGTTCATATAAAAATCCTATCAAATACATGGAAACCTAGCACTTGACAGCACACTTAATCTCGAAGAACTTGTGTGACTTTGGCGAAGAACTTTTTCTTCTCTGGAAAATCTGTATTCAAAATTTGTACCACCTCGAGTAGATTATCATTTATTTCCATTTGCTTTTGCACCAGTTGATTTAATGAGGTCTCAGAACGTATCTTTGGGGCAGACGTTCCCAAGCCCAAGCGCCGATACGATTTCGCGCGATTCTGTTTGCGCACGATGCGTTCTAAATTGTAATGTTTCATCAAAAGGCTTTCGTCAATCTTCTGACGTAGTTCCTCATCAAACGCCTTCTCGCGTTCAATGTCCTCATACAAACGTGCTAGATCGGCACGTATACGTTCGTTATCACGTGTGACCTTCACGAGTTGTTCATCGCTAATAACACTAATCTCATTTTGAATTTTCTTCAACCGATTACGTAAGTCGATAACTTTTTGTTGTGATGAAATGCCAGTCTTTATGCGCTGTGCTTTTACCTCGGCGAGCTTCTTTGCCGAAGCGGCTATGTAGATATGTTCACGATGTGCCACACCGTGTTGCAAATCTTGTGCGAGCTTCTCTTGCGCACGTGCCAAATGCTGAAAGCGTATCTTCATGCGATGTATCTCCGACTTCATATTGCCGATTTCACTAGTTAGACTCGTTTCATCTTTGCGGCAACGTAGCGTCTCTTCGATGAGTTTATATTTGGTCTCCCACGACAATGACTCGCGATGTTTGTCCAGTACCAAGTCTTTATAATGATCGATTTCGTCTTGCAGTTCATCAATTTCGGCCTCCATATTTAAAACATTCATTTCGTGATCCTGAAAGCGTTTTGAAAATGTATCTGTATAACTTTTTCAGTATATCTCTAAGGGACTTACCTTCAACTTGAGTACTAGTTCATTGTGCTCCATTTGGCATTCGTTCTCCTCGTTGTCGTGCTGTTGGCGCGCATTACACATTTTCTTATTTAAGAGTTCCAATTTCGTTAAGTAGATTTGTATATCGTGCTCGAGTTCTCGTGTGGCCTCTTCCTGCTTTTCAAGATCTACATCGATTTTCAGCGATTTCTGCTTAATTATACTGAACTCTGAAATAAACAATAAAAATCGCAATAAAGTTTTTGTGGAAGCGATTGAATAAGTAAG